GGTGGAACATGAGTATCGAATTGTCAAGTATTAAAGTTTGAGGACGTGATTTGCCTTTGGACATTATTGAAAGATTGAGATAGGTGAAATTCAACCAAAGAATATCGTGAACCAAAGATTGAGATTTGTTGTGTCAGTTGCTGAGAGAGAGGTCCTCATTTTGAGTGGCCAAAGATTTCTCATATTCCTCATGTATAGATAAGGATTTTAGAGGTTGTCTTCCTGTAAATATATTTAAGCTATTTACTCATATTTCATTTATTTTGGTTAGTTACAATGTGTGTTTAATTAATTGCTGTTACTAGTAAATAAAGAGATTGTCATGTGATTCTGTGGCACAAAGATTTTTCAATTAAATGATTGATGTAAGTATCATTCAATTAAATGACATTATTTTTCATAAATTCTATTTATTAATTATCCCATCTTTTTCCTTTAGGTTAGTTAGTAATATTAAATAATTACTATTATAAATTTCTTCAGAAAGATTAAACATAAATTTATTGTTATTAGACATTGAAGAAGGAAATCATCCACCCTACAAGAATTTGAGTCGATACTCATTCATTCCCTTATCAATTCCTAATTGTGTTTGAATCTTGTTCAACTTTACTCTTATAAGTATTGTATTATTATCATAACAAAAACGTTATCATGATTTGAACTATCATTAATATTTTGGAGCATACAAAAAGGAGGATGAGATAAACATTGCACACTTCAACTTAATTAAGGCTTAACTAGACCAAATATTAGATTTGTCAAATGTTGAGGTGAAAGAAAGCGATTTCCTTTGTAACTTGGGAGTATTCGATTTGTCCAATCTAGAAAAAATGGTGAAACTATCTTTAGAATCCTTGAGTATGTATAGTATAAATTAATTATGCAACAAAAACTAATTTATTTATTTTCTTTAGAAAATTTACAGGTGCGACGTGGATATCAATTTGACATTTAGTGGAAATCGAGCCAGAAGAAACTTCAGCCAAAATCTACTCCACACACCCCCACCCCCAAAACCATCACCACCACTACCGGACGACTCAACCACACCCACCCAACGACGGCACCACTGCCATCTCCTCCACCGCTGCTGCAATTATCCCTTATTTATAGTTCCAACTTGTGAAATCAGTTAGTAAAACAATTCTGTTTTTATATATGTTTGAGAGCCTTTATTTTCCTTGGAAATGATAAAAAAATTTCATTTTTCATGTAAAACACTTGTTTGATAGTCAAAATTTGACATGAAAAATGTTTTCCCTCTCCCTCCTCCACGCGCCTATTTTCCTTGATTTTGGTGAATTACTTTTTCCACCATTTTTTATTTATTTATTTTTTTACAATGAAAATAAATTTTATAACCAATTATAAATAAACAATCACTTTAATAGATAATTTTTATGTAAAACGAATTCAAATGAAAACTAAATTTTGATTAAAAAAATAGTGAAAAAATAGTTTTCGAGCAATTTTTTTTTTTTTTTTTAACAAATTTCATAACCAATTATAAAAAAAAACTCACTTTAATGTATAATTTCCATGTAAAATGAAGCCGAACGTGAACAAAAAAAATTCAAAATTTTAAAAATTTTCGTGTAGAAAATTATAACAATCAAACACAATTATTTAACAATTCCTAGAAAACAAGTTCTAAGCAATATTTTCCCTGGAATTCATTTTCTTTTCACCCATTTTCCACCCTACCAATCAAACGGACCCTTAGTATTTAATTTTTGAAAATGTTCCTTGAGAGCCCATCACAATTGATAATCCTAAGAAAACCCTATTACTTGACAACCCAACATATTCATAAGATAATTCCGGAGGAGGAAAGAGACAATGATTTCACATCCATTCAAGGCGCAAAATGTTAAATAAAGAACATGTATTACTTAAAATCATCTTGTAGTGCTCCGAGCAAAATCTAAAAAGGACATAACAATTAAGAAGCATTATCTTCAAAATAAGAAGTCGGAAAGGAGTAGACACCCAATATATGCACAATTAAACAAGGCCTTCCAATTCAAAATGGTGAAGAAGTCATTGCAGAAAATATATGCTCTCCCCCAATAAATGCAGCAACATATCTAGGGCCATCAAAAGCACACCTGCATGAAGTAATTTTTAAGTAAAACCAACATGACCTCAAAGGTAAAGAAAAACATCAAAAAAAAGAAAAAAAAAACTGGGCAAGCAAGTCATAATTTGGTAATTAAATGAGATCATCTCAACTAGGTATCTCAAATATAGGAAGAGGCAACGCATCTTACCAGTGAACTTTACTGAAAAACACACACTCGGTGAAAAGGCTCCACCGTGTTACAGAAGTGTATTAAAAAATCAAGATCCAGAATATTATGCACCAACCTATTTACAGGAAATTCAAACACAATTGCAAGTTAACCATTAAATTTGGCTCAATTTAATTATAAAGCTAGAAAAGTTATAATAAGAGGAAGCACCTCCAATTAACAATTGTAAGACAGCCAATGGGACCTCCTTTTCTAGAAAGAACTATGATCGACATCGTGGAACTCCAAGCAGATAACAGGGTTAATAATTAAAATTATACTTTCTTCCAAAGTCACAGTCACTCACCTATCTAACCGAAAGTTGAACTATGGCGAATAATGACTCCTGATCAACTCCAACAACATAGAATATAGATGATTCGAGGAATAAGATTGGCCTTAATCAGCACCATTGGGAAATTCAATAGGTTACTAATTACTATTTGTAGGCCCAATATATGGTTATGAACATGAGATTTGATAGTTTCCTGCATTAACATACTTCAAGACCCCGTTACAGGAGCAGCAAATAATAAAGTAGATATGCCACAATCATAAGAGCAAGTATCAGAACAAACTGAGTTATTGATATCCAAAACTGAGAAACCTCGTTGATTCCTAGTGTTCTTTAATGATTAATTTTAAAGAACAATACTAATTTTCAGAAAGGGACCCAAAAAAAAAAAAAAACAAGTGCCTGCATATCCAACATAAAAATTCAGGTAAGAATAATTAAGTACAATCTTTTTTTTTGTTCCAGCATTTCTCACAAAAATAAAAATAAAAAAATGTTGGAACAAATCAACATTAGAGCAATTGTGCATAACTAAATTGCATTTGAAGTAGTGCCTTTATTCTTATCGGATGATAGAATGTACATCTCTTAAAGATCACATAGTCGTGTTTATAGAAGTCATCGCCGATCTTGAAACCTTGGAGGTTAAATATGATGAATAAGATTTAGGTTTGATTTTGTTGTGTTCGTTACCAGTTTCATATATGTCGTTTAGGGAAATGATCTTATATAGTCATGATACTTTCACCATTCAAGATGTTTATGATGCTCTATATTTAAATGAAAAGATAAAACATCTCATTTGAATTAAGGCTCATGGAGATGGCTTTATTATTGATGGTGGTTCTGGAAATGGCAAATTAAAATCTAACTTCACAAATGAAATTTGTAATTATTTTATGAGAAATGGACATTTGGTTAAGGATTGCTATAAGTTGCAATATAAAGAAAAAATGGCTACAGCTAGTCAGAAGGGAAAACAATTAGATACGTTAGGTAAAGTCGGTGTTGGAGAAACGTTTTACAATGATGGAGATCTTTTGGTGAATCCTGACAGCGATTCCAAACCTGAAGATGATTGAATTCTTGATAGGCTTACACTTTTCATATGTGTCCCAATCGGGATTCGTTTACAACATATGAAGAAGTTTCCAAAGGTGTTGAAACATGTAATAATACACCTTATCGGATAGCTTGTATACGAAGGGTTAGAATTAAGTTGATTGATTGAAATGTTTAGAACACTTGATGCAGTGCGGCATGTTTCTGATTTGAAGAAAAATATTATTTCCTTAAGGTTTGTAAATGTGCTCATATTGTGTTGGAGAGATGGAAAAAAAATCTCAATTATATATATTGCAAGGTACTATGGAATCTTTGAAGGTCAACATAAATTTGGAGCTCATGTGGATTGTGAGTTTGGTTCAATACCGTTGGAATTTTGTTTGAGGTCTATTTTGATGAATACTTTTAAGTCAAGTTCAAAAGTTATAGATAATTCCGCTTTGTCTCCATTACCAACGGTGCCATTGTATTTAATTTCTTGAAAAGACCCATTTTTGAGAATATGCCTCTAAATAGGTACAAAGACGTCGATTTAGTTAATTCTACTTTGTTCATTGTTGAAGGTGATTGTTCTAGCAAAAATCCTTCAGTTGAAGCATATTGTGGTGATTCTATTACATAACTTGTTTCAACCTTATTTGGTGATTGTTAATCATGTTAATTTTTGTTACTCATGATTCGAGCAACTTTGGTGTTTAAGGGTGTTCTTGAAATTTTAATTATTCAGGTTTTTGAGTTTGAACCCATTTGGATTTTGTGGTAGAGGTAGAGAATATTTTTAAGTTGAAAATTTTGATGGAGAAGTTCGTTTGTGTTTTTGTTGAATAGTTGAAGTTCATTCCTTGCAGTTGAGTTTTTTCTCCACGTGGAAAATCTTTGAAATTTACTCATTGTAGTAAAATTTGCGTTAATGTGGAGTTTGTTAGAATTAGGGTGTGACCCAAATTCTACTGTGAAGATGATTGAAAATTCTAATTAAGGTCGACATTAAGATGAATTCTATTTGTTGGAATGCTTTTGGAGTCATATTCGAAATCTATTTGGTAAATTCTAATTGAAGTTCTATAATGAAGCCCAATTAAGAGTTGGAATTTGATTTGGACTTGAAGATGTTATTAAGATACGGACCGGAGAGGACTTTTTAGCGCAATGTTGCTCGTCTGACGCTCGACTGGAGCTTGAGCACCCAAAACAGTGAAGTTGGCGCCCGCCTGATTCCGTCGGATGCTCGAGCGTCGGGGCGGCGCTGCCTAGCGCCAATAATGAATGGTATAAATTTAGCAACACTTTCCTCCCAGATCTGTTGCAGGAAAGGGATAATGTGCAACTTCGAGTTGTCTCGAGGGCCACATTCATCCTGCCTAGATGCATTTTCACATTTTATTTGTTTTAAACATTCATTTCTATCTATAACTTTACTTAGGGTTTGAAACATCCATATATATTTAGCTCTTTATTGTATTTCAAAATAAGTTGGACAAAGTTGAAAACACAAAATCATTTTATTATTTTTCCATATTTTAGTGAAAACTCCATTCCTCTGCCAATTATTTTATTCTTGAGTTTGTTATTGTGTCATATTATTTTCTTGCCTATTATCACAACAAATTGGTATCGGAATTATCCTGTAGTTTCTTCGTTGTTTATAACAAATGGCGTATATCCGAAAGAGACTGAGTGAGAGAAAAAGAGAGATTGGCTTCTGGGTTGGAAAGATGTAGTACAAAAGAGTGGTAGCTATTTAATGTTGATAATTGCTCGTGCCAGAATCCGCCTCTGGGTCTTCCTGAAGTTTCGAGTTTGCATCATAAGATTAAAGTTGGAGAAGATATCAAAACACCATTAGTTTAAGGTCATGTTTATTTGGGCAAGAAGCTTTAATACGAGTTGTTGACAAAATTTGTTTTAGTAAACCATACAAATGAATATCAATGGCGCTAAATCCTTTTTTACTTTTAGCACAAACAAAGATGGAATTTACACAATTCTTTACTTGAAAAATTGAGTCTTTCATTAAGAACTGGTTTTGGATCTTAGCTTGATAAGGAAATAAGTATCACTTTAGTTTTTGATTAAGTGGTTAAAAACTTTTCCACCTCTAAAAATTGATGAAAATAGCTTCATATTGCACACTACATTTATGTAACAAGAAGTGCATTTTATAAGAAACTATTAAGAGATCTAATGAAAGAAATCATATAGGCATGGTGATTAATTTCCTTATAGCTTATATTTGACTTTCACTTCTATCCCTAAAACAATGCAAGGAAAACCAACAATCCAGCAAGAATGCTTGGTCCTGTCTGCATCCACAGCCTTGTACCGGCACTCTCTAACGCGATTGGAAAGAGACATTCCAATGTGGAAGCATTAGTCTCAATAATCTTTGCCAAACCCTGGAAACTACAAGCCTCCACATCCTGATTCTGCATTTGGAAATACATATTGAAAGCATAGGAAATGTTGGCCTGTATGCTGCCCAGTTTGTTGCACGAAGAACCATAGTTCAGTGCTGTGCAATCTGCCATCGCACAAGCATAACCTAGGTTGTCCGGAACAAGACTCATGTTCTTTATGTCACTGTTGAATGCGCACCACTGTTTTTCCAAGTACTTGACGCCCTTTGCGCCTACCGGCATTTTGTCGTGACCTTGGCCAGTGAAATCCATTGGAAACTTTGGCTGTCCATCATACCGAAATACGCCCCAGTGGCGCTCAAAATCGCCTGGTGCAATGCTCTTTTGGTTCTCATCTGTGAGACTAAACAAATAATACTCGATATCTCCAGGATAAAGAGGGGTTCCTTTTTTCATTGCCATTTTCTTGAAGAATCCATCATAGAATTTTTTAGCTAGTTTGACATTGGCTTTGACGTGTCCCTCAGTTGGCCAACCAATCTCCCCAACAATGATTTTCATTTTTGGGATACCAATTTTTCTCAATGACCAAATAAGGGTATCTAAATTTGCATCAAACATATTGGTGTATGAAATTCCCTTGTCCTGAACTGGTTTCGCACCACCATCGAAGAAGGCGAATTCCACAGGGAAACCAGGATTTTGATAGAGACTTAGAAATGGGTATATGTTGACAAGAAAAGGCGAGTTATTTTCTTTGAAAAACTTCAGAATTTGGATCATATTTTCTTTTATATCTGAACGGAAATTGCCAGCAGATGGAGCATTGGAACCTGATTCGTATACATCTGCATTTTGGGGTGTGGTTACTTTAATTTTGTCCCCAAGACCGGCTTCATCGAGAGCTTTCTGAACGTTCTTTAATGCCGGGAAAGTTGTCTTTAAATTTGAACCATTGTAAGCCTTCAAGAATGGCTCGTTTCCAACAGCAATATACCTGTTAAATCCATGCAAAACTCAGAATAATATTCACCGAACCATATCATCTAAAAGCTCAAACTATTTGAGAACCAACAAGCTAGGATCTTAGAATATGTTGAGAAGTTTCATACTTAATATTTACTCCTCCATCATATAAATGCTTGGTAACATTTTCTTTGACCCAATCTTTGGCCCTATCATAATCATTGGAAAGTTCAGCCAAGTGGTTGTTAGGAATGCCAAGCATGACCTCAATCCCGGTTCCTGCAAAGAATTTGACACTCCAGTGATCCGAGTCAAACAGTTTTATCTGATCAATTTTGTTGTCCTTAAGAATTTGAACTATCGTGCTGGGTTGCATATTTTGTGAAGCCTGGGTTCCCCAATTCACGCCTATACCCTGTACGAGGTTTGGCGAAATTAAGAATGCAAGAAAGGTCCATGTTATTAGGACCCAGATAATGTCCATGGCTTCAACTGGAAATGGGGATTGATTCTGAGTCAAATGAGGTTCGAATAGAATAGAAGGTTTATGGGAATCGAATGCAAATTCAGGAGGTAGAGAATTGGGAATCCATGGAATCCATTGGTTTAGGGGATTCATTAGATGAAAACAAGGAGCGAGGGAAAAGGGTTATCCCAGCTTTTTTTTATCGGTTCATAAATAGTTCAAATGGAGATTTCAAATG